CCTCCATAGGCTGCACCGGTTGGGACATGTGTTGCGCAGATTACCGAATAGGTTGCCCCGGTTCACGATGTTTTCTGAGGCAGATGGAAAAATGTCAAGGGCGGTCAAACTAGGACCCTAGGGTATAATAACCCTAGCCAAGAGACTGGGTCTTGGAGGTCCCGTCAGGTTCCCTTGGAGGGACACCCCACCATGGTAACCGGTGTTTAGGGACCCTGAGTGATGTGGCTGAGTGTCGCAAACAGTGGCGCTCGTGCACCTGCACCATATTCTTGTAACCCTAGTCCGTATGAATTCTCTTCCCCTTGAATTTGCCCTCAACATTCCAATCTTCATTTTGCTCTTTTATCCATATAAGCGCCCCAAAGTCAGCACCGAAAACGGGCACACTAAAGTACATGGGTAATGGTTGTAAAAAAAATGAAATGACTGAAATGTGTAGGTGTCTATGTGCGTACTATAATTACAAAGGAATATCGCGTACTCATTGTAGTCTTTTGGTTTGCTCCTTGTGTAAAAACAACTCCCCCTAGAACTAATACACCGTACTTCCTTTGTTCCCCTCCCAGTGAACACGATCTGCGTCTAGCTCAGCATATCACTCATGTACACATGCACGGTGCAGCACCAACCACAACAGAGGCTTCATCCCTGCCCGGTGCTGAACAACAGAATCTATTCTCATTGGTCGAACTGCGTCGTCTCATTCAGATTGCGAAGTCACAACCTGCGCCAGCTGTCCCAGCACATCTGGCCGATTATCTTGTCGGAGCTTACGTGGAAATGCGCAAGGAAGCCCGAGTGAACAAGGAAATGACCTATACCAGTGCGAGGTAGGCAGTGTTCCGAAGTTTCTAATTGCGCATGGCCACCCGTTTTTATCATCAGAGGGGACACGTTTATCCTTTTATTTATACTTTTTCAGGACTCTGCTGGCGATCATGCGTCTATCCACGGCACGTGCTCGTCTACGAGCGGCAACGGAAGTGACCAAATCGGATATTGACGAGGCCATGCGATTGATGGAGGCCAGCCGAGCCTCGATTAATGCGACTACCGCTGGTGACTTTGATCGAGTAGGCCGGTACGTGACGAAATTGTTACATATCCTTCTCCACGGTTTCATCAAAGCAAAATTACTACCACCGTCACTGTTGTCACCTTATTCTAGTCTGGTCAATTTTACACAAAATTACTCATCTTTAGTCATCTCTATCAGATATGTGTGTTGAATTAGCTCAATGGAGTAAGACTAAATAAAGTGAGGTAATATAACCGCGTTCAAATAGTACTTTAGTGTTTCCACTCTCGCTTATTCGATCAACGATTAAATGGTTCTACTAAAACCTTGAACAGTCATTGATACTTCCTCACACGGGATCGCTCCACAGCCGCATCACCATCATCCTTTATCTGCGTACACGTCTCTCAGACGATTGAACATGTTCAACTATGCTGCCTAGAGTCCCGGGGCGTAGAATGCCGTTTCCCATGAGTATTTCCTCCTGACAGGGGGGTTCACTCCATCTGTTGTTCATCATGCAATGACATGTGTTGTAAAAATGTAAAGTAAGTGAATCTAAGACAAAATTAGAAAAAAGTGAATAAACTTGCAAGCACCACTGAGCTGTCTGATCTGGAGTACGCAGACAACATTGTGCTACTGAGTGAGGATCCAGGTAAGTTGCAAGCATTTCTGGTTAAGTTGAATGCCAGTGTAGCCATATTCGGTATGCGTTTTGCACCTTCAAAGTGTAAAATGTTACTACAAGACTGGTTTGGTCCAGCACCCAGCCTCACTCTAACTGGAGAAGTAATAGAGCAGGTGGATAAGTTTTGTTATTTGGGCAGCTACATCTCACCCAGTGGAGGCATCACGGACGAAGTGTCAGCTCGCATACAGAAAGCTCGGTTGGCGTTTGCTAACTTGAGACATCTGTGGCGCCNCCGGCTGTTTGTGAAGGGTCGAGTGTATGCCGCGACAGTTCGGCCAGTCCTGCTATACGGTGCTGAAACTTGGCCATTAAGAAAACAAGATAAAGACAGATTGTCGTTGTTTGAACACCGCTGTCTCCGCAGCATTGCACGAATCTGGTGGGGTAGTCGGATGAGCAGAGTTTTGGGTATCTGCTGTCGCCCACTGGAGCAATTGGTCGACCTCCATAGATTACGTTGGTTAGGACATGTGTTACGCATGTCACCAGGTAGGTTAACACGGCGAGCGATGTTCGCCGANGCAGATACCGCTTGAAAAAAAGCCAAGGGTGATCAAGTTAAGACCTGGCACGAGTGTATGAAAACCCTGACCAGGAAACTGGGTCACATAGGTCCTGTTAGGCTCCCTGGCTGGGGACCTCGGGATGATCGTAACCGATGGTTAGAGACACTGAGTGATGTGGCTGGGTGTCGTAAGCAGTGGCGTTCGTGCATCTTCTTGATTTCTTTGCAACCTTAGACCACTGAACTTCTCCATTTTCCTTTCGAGTCCACTTTCGTTTCTCCTATTCTTCATCCCAATGGGCAGACAACAGACAACAACCAAAACCGGCGCACGAAAGTGCATGGTTAATGGTTGTTCAAACTGAAACTGAAACCACTACTCACTACGCCCCGGGTCTCACCTAACTACCGATCTACTTGACTCGAAAACTCCAATCCGGAGGCCTAACGCTATCTACTTCGCAAAACACACTGCTCAAAGTGTTCATGCTTCCGCTCAAAGTCAACGTCTGACCACTCAATCTTTTTGGATCAATATTCCCCATTTAAACATACGTTGCACGCAGAGAAATTATCAATGAGGCTCCATATACCCATGCACTCGTATTCCGTAGAGGTCATGAATGCACTTTCTTAATACCTCGCGGAATCGGTTGCCTGCTCGCCTGTGATAAGTCCGTTTCTGGTATAGCGTGTGTGTAAAACCAGAGTAGTCTACATCAACCGGCCGTGCAAGAAGAGACATAGGAAACACCTTCCTGTTCTAGCAGTGTTTACCGGCTTGATTCTCCATCGAGGTGTGCGGAGCACCGTGGACGTTTAATTCCCATTCAAAATGCGTATGATTTTATGAAACGGACAACGGTCCTCAATGAATTACGGTTTTCACTTACTTGGACATTGCCTTGGACAATTTTCGACTAGTCGAAGTCCTAGTGTTTTGAAGTACTACTCACATTTGTGAATAGTATACAAAGTAGTATGGTTGGTGATTTCCTTCAACAATAAAAAATCAACAAGACCAGTGAGGGCGAATTGCTGTTACCCCAAAATAACTACAGACTGCCCCATTCAGTACCCCATATGCTACCGGGAATTCAAAGTCAAAGTTTAAGTTTTATTATGGGAAATACAAGCGGTTGCTTTTCTAGTCCCATAGGATTTGGCACATTACGTACAAAGTAGATGAATGTTACAATGTCACAATTTATCCTTGTTTCGTGCACTTTTACGGATGTTGAAATTTAAGACTTTTCAAAGCTTCATCCAGATTGTGCTTGAATGAATCAATTGTTGGTGCAGAGACAACGTGTGGTAATAGAGAGGTCCAAGTAATGCACACTCTGAGGGCGAATGAATGCCGCCGGCATTCTAGTCGGCATTTTTGGAGCGCTAATTTGAATGGGTGCCCCCGCAGGTGAGTGTTGGACGACAAGGAAAGGAGTGGACGATATGGGTGGTCTGGGTTCCGCATCATTTGGTATACCAAGATCAAATCTCCTCGAATGTGGCGATACTGTGTGAAGTACAGTTACAGTGATTCCAGTCTTTCCGCATAACTCTTGGAATGTAGTCCTTTGACCATTTTGGTAGCCATTATTTGTGGACGTTCCAGAATCTTTGGATCGCTTTGTAGCCATGGAGTCCATGCTTGAATGGCGTACTCTGTGTGGGGTCGAATGTAGGCTGATAACAATCTTGGGAACAGCATTGGTTCAAATTTGCCAAACACTCGTTTTAGCAAACCAACGTGTCTTACAGTGGTAGACGATGTCCGGGAGCAGTTTAAAGAACAGCTTAGGTCGTCTTGAACAATGACGTCGAGATCCCTCTCATTCGAGGTGTATGGAGGTTGTTGATCTCCTAGAAAATACGGGAACCGAGTTTTGTGTCGAATTTAAATTGCGATGACATGTTTCAAATGAGACATCTGTTCTATGCACGCCAAATTATTGATATCCCATCTGTAATCTGCAATAAATAACTTTCGTCGACCAGGCACCGCCTCCTGGAATTATAACACAAGTTGTGAATCCTGTAAGAAAACTCACGTACCTTGGCTCGGACGATTCCGCGCGCTAGCAAATCACGAACCAATTTCTTTGTTCTAAAGATTATTGTACCGTGATTTCTTTGGCACAATCTGGATCCGGACGCATGTGAATTATGTTAGTGATAATAATTCGCCATTGCACTAAAACCTATGACTAGATCTTGGGTTTTGCTTGAATCATCGTGGTATTGTGAGTTAGCTAAAAGGTTTTCGTTTCTTTTTCTACTTAGTCCTCAGTCGTACAAGGATATCATCTATCACATTGTTCGTGAGCTGACCGGGGCTGGTGACGGAACTGCTCGTTTAGCCGACGTGATGGAACGATGTGCAGCTCGCGGTTACACGCCTGCTCAAGTGAGTTGATGCATTGCGTTCTACNCGTAGTCTCTCACGTGCACCCGTCGTGGGCACGTTTTTTTATTAGTCCCATGCGACTGATATCCACCAGCAATTCAAACCGTGATTTATTTCTACTCCCTAACATAAATCTCCTGAGAGAAAGATATTCGTTGAACTCTTTTGGTCTTGCGAAGACTGAAACTAGACAGCTGGAAAAAAGTTTCTTCCAACGGGGTGCCCAAGACTTAAGGGCACGATATACTTCGCCGCAGCCCACACCGAAAAATGGCTTTTTTGGGAACCTTAATCGGAGCCTTGGATTCAAAAGTCCCGCAAGGTAGTCAGCGTAGATCCAACGCGGTAGCGTGACCGAAGCACCCGTGTGGGAACTTCTAGAGATCTGTCACGCAAGGCCTTTGGGTTTCGATTCGGTGTATTGTTTGCTGGCGCGTTGATTGCCGGTCTGCTGTTCGAGATCGGTCCTTAGCTTCCTGCACCTAATGAGAGAGGTGGGAGGTCGACAAAATAGCACTTGGATTTTCGCCGAGGCAGTTATTCGATGAAAACAACCAGGGCTGGTCAAACTCCGACCGGGCACGAGAGTATGAAAACCCTATCCGGGGGACTGGATTATATAGGCCACTTTAGACTTCCTATAATGGGGACCTCGGGATCATTGTAATCAATAGTGAGAGACTCACTGATACAGCTGAGTGGCATTCGTGCATCTACTCCTTGTTCTTGCAGCCGTAATGTATATAAATTCTCCATCTTGTGTTTGACCATGCTCTGCACATTCCAATTTTCATCCTGCTCTTTTATTTAAATGGCCAGTCAAAAGACAGCAACCAAAACCGGCACACCGGAACGCATTATCAATGGCTCGTAAAAACTGAAACTGATCTTTTTCTGGCCCCTGCCTATTGACCTTTAGGCATAATTGAATCTGCGGCTGTGAAATGCTATCCTGTGTAGCTCGCAGGGAAATTGGGGGCACGCAGTCCATCATACCACGTCAAAGTGCAGTCTCGTGATGGTTTGAAATTAAGAAACATAAAAGTAAACTAGATGTCATGTCATTGGATAGAAGGAGCTGTGACCTAGAAAAGGTCTTAATTAGGACAGATAGCAAATTATCAGTCACGGAAGCGTCGGACAAGATTTACCACATGGATGTCCGACGTGTCGCATTCGGGTATCCATGGATCGGCATCTCACTCTGGATGACATTTCTAGCTGGAGTCGAGTGCGATCTATGCGTTTAACGCGAATCTCTTACCGTTCAGTTTAGTTCAGTTTGTACAACCATTAACCACGCATATTCGTGCGCCGGTTTCAGTTGCTCTCTTTTGGCTGCCCATTTGGATGAAGAATAGGAGAAGGAAAGAAAGTTGAAAGTGGAGTCGAACAGAAAATGGGGAAGTTTAGTAATCTAAGATTGTAAAGAAATTGAAAAGGAAAATGAATCTCGTCTTTCGGTTTTGACACATGCTGACCACGTTCCTTGTGGCGAATCGCAACAACTGCTGTAAAATAAACGGCCCTTAGCCTGTTGTCAGTCTGAGTTATGTAGGAAGCATCACTTGTTTTTGACGTATAAAATGAACAATGGTGAAAAATATCGTTCATTCCATTCATTTTGGTCTTTTTTTCTTCAGGTGAACGAAGTGGTAGACGCCTACGAGAATTTGAATGTATGGCAAACAAATGTCGGCCGTACACGATTGACCGTGGTTGCCTAATACGAACAACCCCATTACTATCTACAAAGATGAACTATTGCGTTCCTCCACCTGTGTATGTGTCCTGAGTGTACAACCCGTTAATCGCTATTTTGTCAACCGTGCAGATTGTGGACTGTTTTTATTCCATTTCCAGTGCATTTAGTATTTTTGTACAACCTTTTCGCTGAAGATTACACACTTGTTTTTATTCATTTACTGTTTCGATCGTCCTACGGGGTTTTAGGATTTTGTTCAAGTGATTCAGGTTTCGGACGCCAATTGTGTGCTATACCCTAGCCTAGTTCGATTTAAGCCCTAAACAATCACCGATTCTTACTCAGGACTGCTCCTTTCTATCGGGTCTTTTTGCGGTGAAACGTTGTAGAAAAATTGCCAGATTTCTCCTCTCTTACTGTCAAATTAGTTGGTTGCTTACGTCATTCTGAAGTGTTATTGGTATGGGCTCGAGTGTTCCTCGTGAAACACTCCTATACAACCAAGCGTCTCAAATTGGCTACCGAGGAAACCCTACTCACTTCCAGTAACGGATGTGTTTTCCCCACCATGGTCAGATGACAAAAAGCTAGCATCCGCGACTACAACCGTGCCGAGGAGCCACTGGTAGTTCACCTAGGGTTCCGTGGTTCCAAAGCAACCAAGAATAGGCGTACGAACCACAAATACACGTTTCCCGGTTGTGGTATTGGTGGCCGGCTCGATTGTACATCCGGGTCCTATCAGGCACCTTGGACGGTTGACCTCGTCCAAAGGATGTGTAATTTATGAAACGGACACCAGCCCTTGGTGGATTGCGGTTTTCACATACCGGTCGGCTGCCTTACGGGCCAGGCTTCGGCTAGTCGAAAGCTCTGATTCTGAATACACTGAGAAAACTCACATGCACCGACTTGAGCTACCTCACAGCGATCAGAGAAGTTCGCTTCACTGTTTGATGATGCTGATGACAGTGTTCCACTTCGTAGCAAATCATGGACCGTTTTTCCAATTAAAAATCATCATCGCTTTATATTAATAGCCAAAGCCGAGTCCGAGCTTACGGCACGTTTTCGCCCGAGTTCACCACGGAAAGTGGTGTTCGTCATGGTTGCCCTCTTTCTTGTGTCCGTTTTTATTTAACTTCGTGATAGATTCAGTTCTTGTAACAGCTCTATCCTCGTGCGAGGCTAACAGTATCGATTTACTTCCAGGTGGCAGACTTTCTGATCCATACTATGCAGACGACATTGTGCTACTAAGTGAAAATCCAGGTAAGTTGTAAGCTTTCCTGGTAGTCTGAGTGCTAGTGTGTCCATGTTCGGTATGCGTTTTGCACCTTCAAAGTGTAAAATGCTACCACAAAATTGGGTTGGTTCAGCACTCATTCTCACCCTAACTGGGGAAGTAGTAGAGGAAGTAGACAAATTTTGCTACCTGGGTAGCTACATCTCACCCTTCGGATGCATCACAGATGAAGTGTCTGCTCGCCTACAGAAGGCTCGGTTGGCATTTGCCAACCTGAGACATTTGTGGCACCTTCGCGACATCCGGTTGTCTGTGAAGGGTCGAGTGTATGCTGCAGCAGTTCGGCCAGTCCTGCTCTACGGTGTAGAGACTTGACCTTTAAGGGAACAGAATAAAAACAGGTCGTCGGTGTTCGAACACCGCTGTCTACGTAGCATTGCACGAGTCTGATGGAGAAACCGGGTGAGCAATGCTGAGGTTAGGCGTAGAGTTTTAGGCGATCGCGGTTGTCTACTGGAACAGGTAGC